TCTTGTACTTACATCTCGAAACCTGGATAAAGCAGTGATCTCGGACATTGATCTTTTCTCTGCTTGATTAACAATCATTGATGTATGACTCGAAGTGGCTGAAAAATTTGATGTTGAAGGAAGAGAAGGAGCTGAAACTGGATTGTTTTTGTTAATTGAACTAACTTTGCTCTCAAACAGTCTCTTTATCTCCAAATCCTCCTTGATCTTCATAATTTGCTCGTTTTCAATTGGTCTTGTTCTTGTAGACTGCCCATGATCATTTGTTTCCAGGGAAGAGAATCTGTTGCTGGACATCTCATTAAGCATCTCTGAATTCAAGAACATCAGGTCCGAAGAACTCACACTGCTCCATCTGTTCTTCAAAACTACATCAGGTACAATGATCTTGTGATTAAACTTATGGAAGATCCTCTCGTCATCATCCTCGTCAGCAGCTTCTTCTCGAATCAGAACTTCATTTTCGATATTGCCTTTTTCAATTTTCCGGAAACTGCTTCCAATGCTGAATCTTGATGAGCCATGACCCTCTTGCTCTCTCTGGATATAAAGCTCTATGTTTGAGTCCTCTCTTAGCTCGGATTGATTCAGTAAGAACCGCATACTATTTGAGTATGCAAAGATTGTTGGGTCCTCGGTGTTGATCTTCTGCCTGCAAAGAGGGCAGCTCGAGTGCTTTTCTAGCCACCGGTCAATACAATCAATATGAAAGGCATGTTTGCACTTAGGCAGCAACCTTAGAATTTCAATATCTTCAAACTTTGATAGGCAAACTGCACATTCAAGCCCTTGTTTTGATCCTTTAAGAGAAGAGAATTTAAAGAAAGGAAGTGATTCTATAACTTTCTTATCAATTCCAGAGAGCTGAGACCTTGTTCGATGGAGTATTCCAGGGTGACGATCACCATGAACTGTTGCTCCCCTGTGACAGAATTTGGCATAGACAAGCAGGACAAGCGTTAAGGAAAACATGAGCAACAGAGCACATATGACAACTGCTAGGCTTGGCCGGAAATTTGAGACAGCATCTCCTGAATTTGCAACACTCTCGCTAGAAGTGGATTGCGCATCAACATCGAAAAGCAGGAAAAAAAGAACTAAGCAAATCACCCTTGATCGATTCATTGGAAGAATTGTATCTCAAAAAATCTTCCGAGAATTCTAATGCTTTCCTGCTGGCATTTTCGCTGGAAAATGCATGTTTCCGGAGCAGAACTTCTAATATTCTATAGGGGGTTAGTTTGACATGGATTTGTTATGCAGGGTCCTGACTAACATGTCACTCCCCCAAAAGGGTATCCTTCCTGTTTGTCAGTTTCCTTGCTTTCCTTTTGGGCTGTGGTTTGCAGCCCGCTTATTATATTGCAATGCAGGTTTTTAAATGTGAAAATTCAGAAGTGATGACATGGTGGAGAGGCGTTTTATTGAATACAAAATTTGGTCTGTGACCTGATGGCTTCTCTTGGATAGCAGCAGGCCTTACAAGAAAAACATCTGATATCATCCATGATGAGAAATTAAATTAGGGTTTTTTGTCCATTCTGATGCCGCCTATCAAATTATCAATTCTACATAGCAGGGTTTCGTACTATAGAAAACTTCCTGGTGAAACTTGGACCAATAATGTGCATTTGTCATTAAGGTCAGCCATTAATGTTAAATTTCTCTTTGTTGTGTTGATACTTTTACTTTTTACTGTTTTTTTTTTATTTTTTTCCAAAAAACAAAAAAATTTTTTTTTATCTAAATAGAACCTAAAATTTTCATTAGATAAAGCTGTTTCTCTTGTCACGTATTTAGCATCTTCTAATATCTTCATTTTCTGGAAAATGAAAAAGAAAAAAAAGAGAAAAAGTTTGTTCTTCTTTGGTTGCTGTGAAGGGAATATCAAAGTCCAGTTAGATTCTAATTATAAAAGTCAGAGTTACTTCCGTTAAGATAACGAGAAAGTCAAGGGGTTGCATCTAGTCTATCTTTGCTTTAGATTAGGTTGTTTTTGGTGATCTCACAGCATAGCCAATCAGCTGATCTAGCCAGCTAAAAGACTCCGAAACCAGTAATGAACTTAATTCTTGTAATATTATGAAAGATAAAAACACCAAGTCAAATGGGACAAATTCTTGGAAAGTCATCGACATATCCTCCAAGTCTTCATTTAAACCAGCCTAGCTTCCTGATCAATCAACAAACTATCCAAACCTACATGAAGTTTCTCTCATTTTTATATACTGTATATGTTTGCCAAAATGAAGACAATGAGTGTCAATATTGCAATTTGAATTCTAATATGAACCGCGTACACTTGATGATTCATACAACTTTGTCTTTTATCATTTCAGAATGTTAAATCCTGTCGAAGTTCTTGGAAGGCAGAGAACATTCAAGTGAATCTTTGGTATCCAATGCAGAAGTTAAGGGAAGAAGATGATTTTATGTTGTAAGGAAGCAAATGATTATTCATATACTCAATAGCGAAACCAAGCTGTGAGAAATAGACAGGCACATGAAACCCGGCCGTGTTTTCTGATGAAGCACATGAGATAAAACCCAAAAGGGAAAATCCCAGAGTCCAATAACTATACCACTGGCCTTACAGGTAATACACAAATTTTATAAAAATAAAATATAATATATATATATATATATATGAACATATTTATACATATTGGACGTAGAGGAGCAATAAAATAAAAGGTTGCTGTTAATGAGGCTGTGATGTTCACCGGAGTCATGACATAAGAGAAAGGAACCTTCAAGAAATCCAACCACTTCTCCAACTCCCAACTTTCTGTTCCCCTTTTTGCCAGTGCATGATGACGGGAATACTATTACCAGTTGCTTTTGAAGAACCACACCGTACGTATAGCTCGTCCAACCTTTATATTTTTTAATTTTATTGAATTTAATTTTTGTAATTAAAATTGAAGTAATTTAATTTTTTAATTTTAAAAATTACATTAATTTAGCTTCTTTACTTAACTATATCTAATTTTAAAATTAAAAGATGATGTCATCATCGACATCAGCGATGACATCAACATTGATATATTACTTTTTTGATAACGTAGGTTGAGATGATAATGTGGTATATCACATGATAATATACAATTAGATGATAATGTTGATGTGACATTGACATGCTAATATATCAATGTCACGTGATAAATAAAAATATTTTATAAAAAATTTGACCACGTCATAAAAATTAAAGTGAATAAAAATATATAGTACAAAGACTAAATAGAACAAAATTGAGATGTTGAGGGATTAAATTAAAATAATATTTAAAAAATATAAATATTTAAGTAGATTATAATATACTTGTTAATAACTTAAATATTTAAGTGTAAAAGATTTATAGTGTTAAAAAATATATATAAATATTTTCTTACTTGATTATTTGATTCTAAAATATGTAAATTATTTTTTTTTACAAAAATTAAATTTGAATTCTTCTTCTATAAAAAAAGATTTGAAAAAAATTTATACATGAAATCAAATTTAAATGAATAACTTGTATTATGTTAAAATACTATAATATAAAATAACTAAATAAATTCTTTTGTCTTCTATTTATAATAGTATAAACATTTGAAATTTATTTAACTTAGGTTTTAACTTGAGCTAAAGTCAAATAAGCACAATATGTTGATTTAGTTTTTTCTTTAAAAAAATGAAGAATGAAGATATGAAGTTAATGATTATTATAAAATAATTTCTCATTTTGACTTACTTAATTTGGACATAACAAACTTCTTATTACAACTATAGAATCTAAGCTTTATTCTGCTAATTAATTATTTATTTTTTATATTTTTATTTTATTTAATATTTTAAGTTATATTTTTTAAGTTAAAATTTTTTAAATTAAAGACTGTATTTATCGTTGATAAAGTTAAATATAACTATAAATATTTGTATCATTTTATTTTATTAATAAATTTTTTATATATTCAAATTAATAATTTAAATTTAAATTTAATAAAATTTGATTGTGGTATTTGAATTTAAATAAAATTATTTTATAAGAAATTTTTAGTAAATTTAAATAAAAAGTAAATTAGGTAAGAGTTGAATAATTTTAAAAGAATATGTTTTTGTAAATTGTGAAAATTGTAACTAAATCAACATATTTTGTTAATTTGAGTAAATTTAAATAAAATATAAATTAGATAAGAGTTAAATAATTTCAAAAGAATATATATTTGTTAATTGTGAAAATTGTAACTAAATCAACATATTTAGTTATTTTATATTATTTTATTTTAACGTAACCCAAGTTATTTATTTAAATTTGATTTTAGGTATAAAATTTTTAAATTTTTTTTTAAAAAAAGAGAATTCAAACTTAATTTTTATAAAAAATATAATTTATAAATTTTAGAATCAAATAATTAAATAAGAAAATATTTATATATTTTTTTACACTATAAATCTTTTACATTTAAATATTTAACTTATTAATAAGTATATCAATAATATACTTAAAGATTTATATTTTTTAAATATTTTTTTCAATTTAATCTCTCAACATCTCAATTTTATTCAATTTAATTTCTATATTATATACTTTTGTTTACTTTTAATCTCTATAACGAGGTAAAAATTTTTTTGAAAACTTTTTTAATTTATAACGTGACATTACTACATCATCACTTGATGCCATGTGACATGTCATGTCATCAAATATGACATATTAGCACGAATATCATTGTTGATGTCAATGATAACGTATTTTTTAACAGTAATATTAAATGTAGTTAAAAAAAGAGATTAAATTGAAATAATTTTTAAAATCAAAAAATTAAATTATTTTAATTTTGAATATAAAAATTAAATTAAATAAAATTAAAAGATACAAAAACTGGATATATCTTTTGATTAAAAGATTCTAAGAAAACAGTCAATGCCGTCATGCTGAGGTGGGAATAACTGTTATATGCTGCGGACCTTACGTACGTAGGCTCCAGCCCTGTGGTTTTCATGGCCATTAAACTGTCACTAAAAAACCAATGCTATAAACTCGGATGCAACATGGAAACTTTCTATTTTCTTCCTGTTCACTACAAGGACTGCACAAGGTTGATACAAGTCTTAAAGGATAAGATGAAAGTCGGTCATCTACGATGAATCTAAGGAAACCTTTCAATTAACCCTTCCAAAATCAAACCCATGATCTCCTCATCCTGCCAACATCAGCAACTACAACATATAAGATATTCTTATTTGATGATTTAGTCTGAAGTAATCCCTGACAACATACATGAGTTGCATTCAAAAGAAGTATCATATAAACATTGAAACATCTGTATATACCAAGTGGTTGAGAAATCTCCTTATCTGCTACAAGAAGATGCCAGAATCTGAAGCTTAAACTGCTGTCAAATAAAATACAACCACCAAAAAAAGATTTTGTTGAGGAACTGCTACTACAGAAGGAAAATGCTTAACATTACTATTTGCCAAATAAATTATGCTAGAAATTATAACGTACACCTGCAGTAGTTAACTGCAGCAGCTAATACAACCGGAAAGGAAATAAATAACTAAACTTAGTGAGAAAAGCAAGGACTCTCACTAGTGTATTTGAGGCCATAGCAAGTCATACTTGATTGCATGTCAATGTATGTTATGGCTTTTAAGCTTCAGCTCTGAGCAGAGGCAGCAGGATTGGTACTTGGAAATGTTGCCAAACCATTGTTATTATCTGGATTAGTGCACTCTTCACTGGCATGCTGAACAAACTCTTCAGGAGACATGTGGGTACCATGGCAAGCACAAACAATCTTTATCTGATTTGCACTGAATCTGTAAGTAACACCAGAAATTGTTCTACCATGTGGACCAGTACCTGTGGTTGAAACCCATGGTAACTGTGGATAAGAACCAGATCCCCCAAATTTCAGATCTGCAGCAATACCAAGCTTTATGGCTGAAAAATCTATAGATAAGCCTTCTGCTGTTGACCGATCAGATGCAGTATTTGCTCTGAGATTCATACCGCTGCCTTTTACATCTTCCTCTGCCTGACTAGAGGAGCCTTCCTCCGTTGCATGCTGTTTACCATCTCCTTTGACTCGTTCAAATGTTCTGGATTGGGCAGCCTCAGAGGAATTGCGTGTAATTGTATGCACAGAAGCTACATTCAACAAAGGGAAAAGGAAACAAATTCATTAGCTAGGGAATAGCGACCATAGCTCACTTACCTTTTGCTTCAAGAGACTTATTAATCTTGCTCTAGTCAGGAAAGAAAGTTTTATATATACTCAACATCAGGATAGCTCAGAGCACTCTATGAGGTGTAAAAGACACAGATCACTAGGCATATTTAGAAATCATATCTCCATCCGTTAAGCCCATCAAATTGTTACTACCTCTGCCCCCATTCCTCCCTTTTCTTTTCTTCAAGCAAAGGAAGAAAGAGATATACCTTGTGATATTTTCAACCCATCACCATGCTTATCCGGATTAGGTGGACCCCTGCCGGCATAGGAAGGGTGGAACTGTGAAGGGTGAGAGACCATCCCCCAGGGATTATCCTTATCCAACATTGGAAGTTGGACAGATGAGTAGCCAAACATAACTGGCAAGTTTCCAGGATTCACAGGCTGGGTGGCAGACCGTTCACTATTTCCGGTAGGCATAATCTGTATCATGCCAGATAGCGTATGGCCTGATGAGCTGGGTGTTCCAACAGGGTTGGAGTCCTTCATAGGTAATGAATAAGGTACATTCATGACATTTACTGATTGAACCGGGAATGGGTTGCCATAAGTCAAGTTTCCAAGCTTAACCTCCTTATGCACCTCAGAAGAACCACTAACTCCAATAAATCGCTTGGACCCATCATCACGTAGTGAAATTAGCCTTGAGGTCGAACCCTCAACTTCAGACTCTGCCACATCTTCATTTTCAGCAGTGGAGCCATCTTCTGTAGTTATGGAGATATGTGATGTCTTGGGCTTTTCATGTAAATCAGTATGCTGAGCTTCTCTTTCAAGCTTTTTTGGATTGTTTATCTCATCAAACAACATCTTACGTTTACTACCTGCTTCTGAGCGTTTGTCTTCATCTAATTCAGCAGACCTGTTATTGTTTGTACCCCAGAGACCTCTACCATTCAAGTTCACAGAAGCTTCTGCATCACCGGTGGCCTTGGAAAGATCATTAAAGAAGTTTTCTGAAGGTTTCACTGAATCACTTCTTTGAGAACCCACACCGGGATCCTGCCTCTGAGAGCCAGCTTGAAAAAAGTTTTTAAAGTCATCCACAATTTTGATGCTTCTATCGCCTTCTTCTGTCCTAGTATCTGAAGTGCTACCAACTTTGCCTTTGGATTTGGCTGATGTACCACAAGATAGACCCAAGCTAAGCTCAAGCTCATTGTCATCCTCCATTTTATAGAATCACAGTATATTACTGTGTTCGAGCCTAACCTCTGTTGACCTCTGCTAATCCTCTTTATACACCATCTATCTCAAAAAAATGTAATACAACTTCTGCTATATCCATCTAAAGCTACATGCCTGCACCAAAGTCAAACTTATAAGGGGAATTACAAGAATGAAAAAACTTAGTTCCCAACAATATTATCATATATAAAAATCTTAAAAATGAAACAAAAAATTATTAATCTTTGGTGATGACCTGTAAAAAGAGGAATTTTAGGCTCAAGCCAATTCAATCTATTTGGCAAACTCATTTTCATATTAGTCTTACCCAACTCTATAATTAGAAAAAATTGTTAAAAGAAAACAATGAAAAAACAAAAAAAACAAGAACATTATGGAAGTTAATGGCTACCAAATGGAAGCTGTAATAAACTACTAAATTCGTTGCAAAATTTACAAAATTCTAACTACTCTACATTAGCTAAACACTTGAAGAGAGCACTACCAATGATTACTCCAAAAAAACATATTGAACTGTTACTCCAAAAACATCCATATGATCTATGAGCAACGCCAAGGCTCCACTAATTCGTGAAGTAAAGGTAAGAAAAACAAATAAATTTCAAACAATCAAATTATAAACAAGCCCTAAAATAAAATTCTCCATGATAATAGTCCTAAAGCAGCTAGAGAACTAAGCCAAAAGATTTACCACTTTCTTCATCTTTTGTTTTTTTTTTTTTTGGAGGATCAAAGAAAAAGAAAAGAAAGAAAATAGCATGAGACCCAGAATCTGTATATGTTTTTTTCATATATTCATTTATCAGCAAAGAACAGGTACAGCCAGATCCATTCATTAGCAAAATCAATGAAGCCAATAACCCAGAAATAAACATAACAATAAAATAAAATCAAACCCAGAAACAGTTTGGACTAAAATTCATAACTAGATCCAAAAAAATCAGAAACCCATATTCAAAAATCAACAAACTTCATCAAGACCCCCACAAATTCAGTACAGAACAAAAACTCAAACAAAAAACCGCAGAGATCCCCAAACTTCAGAATTACTCAAAAAACAATAATCAGATAGAGACAAAATGGAAAAAGAGAGAGTTACTGAGAAGATCAAAAGAACCAAAGCCAAAGATGTCTTTGCCCACGCACAGGTAAAGATAACACTGAGAAATGAGAGAAAATGTTTAACATTTGCTATTGCTTTTCATATGTTTTTTTTTTACACCATGTGATTGTCATGTGCATTTATTTCTTTTATCTTTATTATCTTCCATGTCCAAAATTTTTGCTAATTTGCAACTTTGCCCCACCCATGTTGTTTTTGTTTTCACTTTTGTCCTCTCATTTCATGTCCAAAAATGTTTAAGGTACTTTGTTGTTGGTAAGATACACTGGTCACTGGACTGACTGGATCATTGTTGATTGTTTAACTAATTAAATCTCTATCTTAGATTATCTATATACTTTCTCTACTATATTATATCCAAATCTTACATCATGTGAATAAAGACTTGCTCTATTTTTTTGTCATCTTTTGCTGTGCATGAAGCAATATACGAGGAAAGCTGGAGAGTTAACCTATGTTCATTTGTTCTGGTATGTCTGTACAGATATTTATAAAGAACTTGGGAGTTAAATAACTCCAAACAGCTTCGAATTGAGCTCAAAATCTAAGCCATGTAAGACTTACACAAAGAGGCCATTTGGTTCTCAGCAACCAAGCAGAGGTTGACAAGTGCCTTATACTTTTCTTTCTTTTAAAGGGAGAAAAAACTACCCATTAGGCTAAGCTGAGTAATTAATAGAATTTAAGTGCTAAATTGAACAACATGTTTCTGATAATAAAGCGTGGACAATCTGATATAGTAACTAGACCAGAACCAGACAATCTTGTGACAGATGCCCCCTTCTATCTGGAGCAGGAAACAGAACATGCAAACATGTTTGTCACCAATGGTTTGTGCTAAACAAGAGGGAATGGTCATGTAACCAATGATAGTATGTAAAACAAGAAGTTACAGCTGCTTTTCTTGTTGTTGCTGCAGATTAATTGAACAAGCAGATAGGCCAGTAAGGGAAATGTATCATAAAGCAACTAACAAGCGTCAATATAAAATAAGCTTCATTGATATTTAGTAATTCCAGCAAGGGTATTCCCCTTTACCATTTTCCACCCTACTATAGCCAACATATCCCATATATATAACACAGGCATTAGCCTGCCACTTCCGAGTCCTAATTAATATACCTAAACCTAAGCATCAAAATTAATATACCAAAACCTAGCATAGAAGATAAACCTACAAGACTTGTCAGGCATGTCATCACAATGGTCAGTTCTAGTTCAGCCTTTTCCTCTTAATTGCTTCAAACACTTCCAATCTTCTTGAAGTGATCACAAAGGAAAGATCCCCTGTCTGAAGGTTCCTAAACGCCCACAATGTAACAAAATCTTGATGCGCAAGTAAGCTATGATCAGTGCAAAACTTCATCCAACCTTCTTTGAGGACGTGAAATTTGGATGACCAAGTTATAAACGTCATTGGGTACTCCTTCCCATTTGCATCATAAGTTTTCACAGGAATCCCATCAGCAGAATCCTCTTCTTTTTTCAGCAATGGCATCACAGCATTTTGCACGTCAAATTTGTTGAGTGAAAGCCTGCATTGACTAACCTTTACATCACTTTCTGTCAGCTGCTTCTCAAATGGTTTGCTGCACCTTCCAATGAGACCATTAAGACGCGCCACAGGAGGGATATCTGGTGGAAAGTAGCCGCTCAAAGGCAGGCATAAGCTGGGGGTTCCTGGCAAATTTTGTGCATTGACTCTTCCTCCGGTTGGATTTGGCTCTTTTATGGCTTTGGGATTGTTTCTTTTTGCTCTTACTTGACGAACAATCTTGGTTTTCAACCCATTCAAAGCCAATGCAGTTTCATTGCTCAATTTCTCGTACCTGAATGAAGCAACAGTAAGAGCAGCCAGATATTGCTCCCTGTATTCTTCAGGATAACCATTCTCAATTCCTTTCAACTTGTCCATGATTTTTTCTTTCTCAGAAAAAGGGAGATAGTTTGCTTGTGAAACTCTAGCCGTTATGCTGGAAGAAGTTCAGTCAACATCTGAACAAATATACATTGCAGAAAGGTCGGTTGATGAAAACAAGGTCTAAAGCCTAAAGGGTTTTATTTTTTCCGTTACTGTATCCGTACAAAGAAAACAGAATCGCGAGAAAATCTGCTCGGGATCAAGTTAGGTCTTTGTTACATTAGACTCTCGGTCTGTCAGAATCTCTTATAGGTCTACAAGATCTTTTCCTTCCGTCTCTCTCTCTTTGGTTTTTTTTTGCCTGAGCCCATATTTTGCAAAACTCTTTAGGCCCATCTTGTTTATCATTATGCCGCACTATTTTGGGTCTTTCACTGCCATTATTTTGTTGCTTTTGATTTGATTATTTTTTGAATTAAATATAATTGTCATTATTCTTTTTACCTAAATTTATCTGGTGAAAAAAACAATTTTAACGAAAAAAAAATTCAAACAAACTCTTTTCTTTTTCACTTTCTTAAACCATTGATGATCGACATGAGAATTACTACCATCCTATGCATTTTTTTTTTTAATTTGATGGTCTAAAACATGTTTGATGGTAGTCTCCAAATGAAATTAGCAAAACATTAATTGCAATGATTAAGTCATTTGGAATTATAATATCTTTAATCACAACATTTCAAAGGGGAAAGCCACTAGAATAACTGACTAAACCAGCTTTACTTATATAATTTGGTGGTGTAATTTGCATGAATGAAAACCATAACTCTTTTTCAAATTCATGTTAAAGGTGTGATAAGGTAACGTTATTCGCACTTCTTTCCTTCAATCTAATTACCCCAATAATTCCGTATTCCATGTTCACCTAGACCTCTAATTATTTTTTTAACTGATTTTTTTTTGTTAAGTAAGTTAAAAACCGTGTATAAATAATTATTAGTATGTGGTAAAATCATAAACGGCAAAACTATTTATAAACTTCTCCACTGCCCACTTATTTTTTTTACTTGGAATTGGTTTATGGTTTTTTACTTAAGCGGGATGGATGAATAATATATTGTACTCAATTATAAAACAATGACACATTTAGGATTTTGTATTAAGACAGATTTAGGATTTAAGATTTTGTATTAAAATAGATTCAAGATTTTGTATTAAACGTGGTTAAAGGTTAATGATCTATAAATATATATATATATATATCAAATTATATATAATAGTAAACAAATTAAAAACTGAAAAATTTAGGAATGACTGCGATTAGTTAAAAAATAATATTCGCATGCTGATTCTACCACTATATTGGCATCCTAAAAAATGATTTTAAGTCTTATTTTTTTTGAGCTTAAACTCTTAACTACAGCTTTTCTTCTGCAAGTCTTTCAACCACTGCAATCTAACAATCATGCAAGCAGAGCCGATAATGCATTTTCGCATTTGGCTCATACTTTTAATGAAGTTTCACATTAATCCATGGCATAATTAGCAGCCACAGCTACCTTCATCCTCTTCTTGCCTACCATCATCTATCACGATCAAGTAGCCTTCCCTCCGAATCAATCTCTCAGTAAGTGATCTAATTCACTTAATTTCTACTTCTACTTCTGCAGTGGAACTGTAGTTGTTTTTCTCATTCTGCTGATTCACGTACCACTGGATTAAATCGCCTGACTCATTCCTGCCAGCTCAGTGTCTCGACGGTTTCTTGGTGCTGTCTAAGTCGCATGACAAGGGGCTTGAGTAACCCTCCGAAAATTGTCTTCCTTTACCCGGTGTTCTTGGCAGAACCTGCACTTCCAGAAGCTGGCTCAGCTGCAACACCTTGGCCAGAATTATCATTTCTATCATCAGCACCATCAATATTTCCTTCTGACAATTCGCTGGACTCCACATTTATTATGATTTAAGTCTTATTCGAGGGATGCCCATGGATTTTGGCAAAATAATTACATGTAAATTTCCGTGAAAATTATGTTTTAATTTCCAATGCTACAAGATAAATGCACGTAAACCCCATGAAAAATTACTTTCAATAGAAAAATAATTAAATTGATTAATTTTACACATGTAATTAGAGCAACATCAACATTTTATTCAATTAAATTGATTAGTTTTACGTATGTATCTAAATGTTACTCGTAAAGAGCAACACCAAGCCTCGTCAAATTCGAATAGAGCAACATCACCCTTCATCAAATTTTGATACATTAGGAAATACTTTTGAAATTGGAACATGAATTACTCATTGTTTTTCCGATTCTTCTTCCTCCTAGAGGCAAAGCGACTGGGTCCAGTCTCTTCGTGACAGAAATCATGATCCCAATCCACTAGAGCAGAAAATATGTTTGTTACTTATTTTATTCTATTGATGGCTTTTGGATAATTTATATATCCTATGAATTTTATTTTATATATAATTTTTTGAAGTAATAAAAAAAATTAAGAAAACGTTCAATTTTTTTAATTAAACAATTTTTTTTTATTTTTTTACAAAATATTAACTAAAAATTTAACACCTTTAACCTTTTGAAAATAAAAATAACAAATAAAATTTTAATTGAAAAAAAGAGAGATAATCTTGGAGTGTTAGGTGAGAAAATGTCATTCTATAAAAGATTTTTGTAAATTTTATTTTTTTTATTTTAGAGTTTATATTGTATTTGATGTATTGTTAATGTATTTACATCAAAATTATCATTTAATTATGAAATATCACATAAAGTTTTTTTAGAAAGGCTAAAATGAATAACTAGAGTGATTTTATTAATTCCAAGATAAATTAATTAATTAGAATGATTATCTACTTTTCAAAAAAAAATTGAATGCTTATCTGGTAAATAAGTGAATTTGAATTTGAATTTAAATTTAATTTATCAGTTTAAAATTTTTTATTTCTAAAATAAAAAACCTATATGATAATAACGTAAGATAACGGGATGACAGAGAATATACACTTTCCACATGCCACGTCCTTGTCAAAACAATTGGTCTTCAATTAACGCGCTGAAATCCTGAAATTGCGTGGGAAGGATGAGCAAAAAGTCAAAGCACGAGAAAGTAAATATCATCAAATTATCACAATTAATAAATAAATGCAAGTGGGGCCAATTTAGAAAAAGAAGAAGAAAAAAATACTAGGTACTGGCAGACATTTGATGTGACATTCATTCATGAAGCGTTGT